AACATAGCAAAATCTAATGCTGATGAAGATACTATAATGATAGTGAGCATGTGGACACGATTCGGAATTGGAGTGGTATTATAATCAGGTATTGCGAGAAGCTATTAAAAGTTTGAACTATAGACAGACTTCTCATTCACTGTATACACTAGGACGCATATTAGCTGTAGTATATACGTGAGCTATTTATACTTTATGTTCTATTCAGACTAATAATAATCTCACATCAGCACTAAGTAAGAAAGAAATGGAACATATCAACACAGTGTTAAAGAAAAAATGCTATGCTTATACTAATGCTTCCCATCTACTATATGCTGGTTATTGGTATGCACTTGCATTAGCAGACAATGCTCTATTAATGTCCTTTGATACTCTATCTATATGGTTGGATACCATTATCACTAAGCTTGGCATTGAAGTTGATATACATAATATTACTACTGATGAAAATACTGCGATTATTGGTAAGCGTATTACCCGGAATGCACTAATGCTAAGGTGGGGAAATTCGAAAATTTATGTCAGCTTTCGTTAGTGCTGATGTTTCAGTTACGTATATCATCGTATATTACTAGACACTCCACATTATCTACAGCTGTTTCCCCATCATATTCAAACAATACTACAACGATTTAACAATAGCAATTCCACGAATGATGACAATAGTATCATTATGGAGGATGCTGCTATACCTCAACAACATAATAGTGTTATTACCATTTCTAACGCCTATGCTCATGGTACTAACATTATCACAAATATAATGGAGTTCCACCCGTTTTACGTGGAGTGGCGCAGCGTGGGAATATATGCAAATGGTCAGCTACATGTGTTGCTGGGAATATGGAAATTTTGAGGAAATTTTGCCAAATTATCGTTGATTTCTGTATACTTATACCCAAAATCGTGTAATTTTCCATAAATAGTGAGGAGGCCTACGAGCTCAGTTGAGGAAACCATACATATATTCCCAGGCTGAAGTGGCGTAATACTCTGTGGGAAAACCCGTTATCCACGGCATGCAGTAGTTTGTGAAATATGTATTCTCACTAGTGTTTTCATATCACTAGGGTGAGACTCCAATGATGATATTAATCTGCATTATTTCAGCTCAGCATCCAAGTGATTATCCCCTGCCTGGGCAGTGCTCATTCTTTTCGAATTTCATATTGCGTAAAATTAGAGATGATAACACACAAGATGACAATGATGAACAACTACAGCACTTCAGAGGAATATTTGTAATACTGGGTAAAAATTTCAGTATTATTGGAGTTTCACCCGTTTTACATGAAGTTCAGTATAGTGATATGCAGTAGTCGTGAAATATACTTTCACTGGTGTTTTTCATATCACTAGGGTGAAACTCCATTATTATCATCATTATCAGGTTGGACCAGTATTCATTCGCCTCGCTGATCCTCTGAGACGACTCGCAGTTCTTTGGGAAGCTCCACATCTTCTAGAAGTAATAATAATGATGTTATTTGTCATAGTCATTATACTCATGTCAGCCTGGGTATCGAGAAAAGGAGTGCAAATACTACGACAAACTCAACAGGAAAATACTCACATATTATAATTGGAAATTCATATTAGTGCATTATGATAAAGGTGATAATTTATCAATGATAATCTTCAATTCGAAGCTAGATACACTACCAAACTTATCGCAATATATATCAACATTACAGCTATCACCCGTTAACTATGATCATAATGATGATGATAAGATTTGCATCATAACACCAACAGTTCCTCTACACGATAGTAGTACATGTTGAAGTTGTTTCTGCACGGTTCTGTTTCGTGTTTATCATCAATACCATAATACTCTCTTCAATTTAGTTGTTATCACTATGGCTGATACTGAGGCGTCTGAGCGTAATGTTGGCAGTGGTGCGGTACTTGTATCATTGGCAATCTATGTTGGTATATTTGTTGTTATTATAATAATATTTACTCTTATACACTATAAGTGCGTGAAGTTATATAATCCACGTGAATGCATACCACAGTTGAGATCGCCACTTTCATCGTGGTATCATAACAGGTTTACGTGGATAATGGGAGCATTTACCATCAGCGATGATGATATATACAATTATTCTGGTCTAGATGCTGTAGCATTCATCAGATTGTTGAAGTTAGGATATAAAGTGGCTATAGTAGGAGTATTGAATTCTATTTACTTGATACCTACTTATAAATTTTCCGATAATATTACTTCTACTAACAATGATGAGTTGGAAATGTGGAGTCTCGGTCATCTCATACCAAACAGTCCAGGCTTATGGGCGGCCTTCATTGCGTCCTACATTATATTCATGTTCACGATGTATCTTATTTATCACGAGTTCCGATGGTACTGCACTAAGCGGCACGATTACTTGTCACGTATTAGAGTTGATAACTATAGTATCTACGTGTGTGGTATACCTACAGAAATGCAATCAAATCAACACTTACGAAGATTCTTTAATAATGTGATGCCCAATACGGTAGCTGACGTTAGTATAGCATTGGAGATAGATGAGATAGAGAAAGCTGTTGATAAGAGGGCCTCTGTTGTTAGTAAGCTCGAGCATGCATATAATGTGTTGAAGTATAAGGGTGTACGTCCTAAGCATAAGGTGAAGATATGTGGTAAAGAGAAGGTGGATAGTATTGATTTCTATGAGAATCAACTTGAAGAGTATAACACTCAAATATCGGCTTTTATCACTAAGGCTGTTGAATACCAGGAGAAGGCTCATGATGAAAGTATGGACGACGATGATGATGATACTAAGAAGAAGAATAAGTTGGGATTAGTTACTGCATTACCGTCCCGTGTCGTACATGGTGTTCTTGGTAAGGATGATATTAACACTAGATCGGGAGCATTCATTACATTTAATAATCTCAAGTCATCAATGGCAGCTCGGCAAATGGTACATTACAAGATACCATTTATTATGAGTACAGTACCGGCGCCTGCTGTTAAAGATGTTTATTGGTCAAATGTTGGTATATCACATTATCGGCAACAATTGGGTGTATTATTATCGATAGTATTAACGATATGTTTATGTATATTCTGGACTATACCCGTAGCGTTCGTGGCATCAATATCAGAAGTAGATAATCTCAAGAGGGAGTTTAGCTTCATTAACGATGCCTCTAATGCTTGGCCCGGTTTGGATTTACTACTAAAACAAATATCTCCAATACTACTAGCTGTGCTTAATGCACTACTACCAATATTCTTGATGGTATTTTCCAAACAAGAAGGCCACATATCTAGCGCTACATTAGATGCCTCGTTATTCGCCAAACTCGCCTTATTCTTCATTATTCAAACCTTCTTCGTCAGTGCTATTGCTGGTAGTCTATTCACTAGTCTCCAGCAACTTGTTGATAATCCTGCTGGGACTATACGTGATATCTTGGCAACCAATTTACCACAACAAGCCAACTTCTTCATTGCTTTCGTGTTCGTGCAAGTTGGTCTAGGGTTAGGCCTCGAGCTCATTAGATTGGTACCGTACATAATATCGGTTATAAGATCATTACTCGGTCCTAATCTCACAGCTAAGGAACGTAGTTCTACATGGTTGGGATTAAGTCCACTTAGTGTACCGGTCACTTTGGACCAGCCTAAACTACTATCTGATGTTATGTTATTTTTCATGATACTATTTGTTTACTCGATATTATCACCAATAGTAAGTCTGGTCATGTTATTCGCATTCTTATCAATGAATGTGATATATAAGCACCAATATGCGCATGTGTATGATCCTAGTAATGATACTGGTGGCCAAATGTGGACTCGTGCTATGCGATATGTATTGTTCTGTCTGATTATTGCCGAGTTCACGATTATCGCAGTGATAGGTATTAAAGAAGGTAAGATTGTAGCGCCGCTCATGGCACCTCTTTTCATTATGACCATATTGTTCTGGGTGTATCTCGAACAACAACATTTCACTGTAGCACAGTATTTACCTTCTTATACTGCTGCTAATATCGACAATATATACAATGAATATAATGATGATAGAATAACAACATCATCATGGAAAGGTGCCTATATGCAAGAGGCATTGAAGGTGCCCTTGCTACAACCCAATACTGATCAGAGTGATGATGATGAAGAGGAGGAAGAAGATGATTATGATAATAGACCTGTTGCAGGTCTGGAGGAAGTCATTGTTGATACCAGAAAGGAGTCGAAGCTATCTACGCCGAGGACTGAAGATATTCCATGATGATTATTATTAGAGATTTTGATTATCACAGTCTTTTACCTTCATCGTGTTGTTGAGTT